CGTACCCCGTACCCCGTACCCCGTTCCCCGTTCTCCGTTTCCCGTTCCCCGTTCTCCGTTCTTTGTTCCTCATTCCCCCTCCCCAATCCTCGTTCTCCATTCCCCGTTTCTGGTTTTAGTAACATCCAACAAAAGCGAAAGATTTAAACGTCTGTCAAAGTTTTCATTGATCCACATAGAGCACGTATTCAAGCGAATTCAGCGAAAATCACCCTTCACCAAAGAGACAGATCGGATTCTGAGCCTGTTTGGGGTGAGATCTAAAATTCCTTATTACAATTGTCTGCAAAAAACTCAGGGCAGTGGTGCATTCTTTATGATATTGTCTCCATCAGATTCCAGAGGAAAACAAGTGTTTGCACGGAAGTTCATTTACATTGTTGCTTTGGAGAAGATATGGCGCGCAAAATGTGATCTTGCCAAATTTGTACACACAACCAGCGCACTTTTTTAGGTGTTATATACGGTTGTATACATTTACCATTGCAAACGTGTTTTGCCTTATTCATTCAAAGACTTATGCTTGACAAGTCATTATTCAGAGGAGGGAAACCGAAAATACCCAATCTATGTAATATTTTTTTGCAGGAGCAACATATTACAATTTACTGTACAATGTTTTTACAAATTGCGTAGAGCGACGATTATTCCAAAATGCTACAGACCTCATTGCAAAAAGCGTTACTCGCCTTTATCACAAAATAATGCTGCCATGAGTGTTACAAAATGCCCAAATTATTACAAAATGCCGAGACCATTACTATAAAATGCACGTTTTCTCTGCTAGTTTCCCCCTAAATTACGTTCTTAGTCGCTATTAAATCTTCGAAATTGGTGTAAGGGATGGACTGCTTTTATAGTCCTCTTACAGTTTTTCCACCGGGTTTAACAAGGGAGATAGCGTAGCTTTGTATTAATATATCTTGTAAAAAAAGCTACGTGCGTTTCATCGCTGGCGATTAACTTCTCTCTTCTGTCGGAGGCTTCTCCTTTAAGAAACGGAAATGAGGAAACAGAACGCAGAAGATGTTATGATATATTTTAGGGATTTGATTATTGTTATTACTCTTGTTATTATTTTACTGATCAGGATCGTAATTTTTTCTGCAATCTGTTTTGCAGGAAAATTTTTTTTTCAGTTTCTTGATTCTAATTTCGTGTGTCATAGGTTCAGAATTAACACCGAATAAGACACGATTTATTAATTTTTTTATATTTAAATTTTTTCACTCGTTTCTGAAAACTGAAATATTTTTGATCAAAACTTTGTGAAAAAAAATTATGGGAGAGGATTCCGAATTTCAAACAAATTGATAAGTCGAGAAGGATTCGATTTTTTTTCATCCTAATATATTGATAACTATTAATCTGTCCTTTGAGATCAAGTTTTTTTAATTTCGTTCGTCCTAAGTTAAGAATTAACTCCGAAAAAGACAAGATTTTTGTAGGGTAAGAGCATAAACAAACTTGAGTATTATTCTTCTCTCGTCTCTGAAAACTGAAATATTTCGGATCGCAACTCCGTGAAAAAATTTATGACAGAGGATTCCGAATTTCAAACAATCTCATAAGTCAAGAAAGGTTTGATTATTTCATCCTTAGTTTATTCTCTTTCAGTCTTTCAGTTTTGGTTTCGTTCATAAAACGATCAGGATACTAAACTTGGAAACTTCTACGTTTCCTGTTTGGTAAGTAGCTTAAAAAAATAATTCATCCACTCTCTTTTTTTCTTAATTCTGACAAAAACTTGGTTATATTCGGCGATAGAGGATTGAAACGTGAAAGCAATCTTTGAAACGAGGTTCTCGATGGGTTTAACCGTTAGCCGTATAACGGCAAAAAAGATTAACCGTTGAGCGTAGAAAATTAGCTATAAAAATTATTTTGTTTATCACTACGGAAAGAAATTAACCGTTAGCCGTAATATGTCCGAAATGCCAACCGCTGGCCATAAATACCATCACCCCACTGAGACCTTCTTAAACCTGCTGACGATTTGTTCTTTCAGTGGTCTAAATAATTGAACTGAGATTCACAAGTTATCATTTTGCTCTTTCTCTGCGTGACTCTTGCTATTTGCATTTATCTTCCCTTTACAGGTTTTTATTTCAATTTCTTGCTTTTGGTTTCTGGAGTCACACGACCAACGTATCAAACTCGGCACGTGACACGTCCCGAGTTCAACGGTTCGTTTGTAAGGTAAACAGCTAATATACATTAAAATAGGAAAAAAAAAAAGATTTTCCTTTTCTAAACAATCTAAAATAATCTATATGGAAACTTGATTTAATCATTGATAGGAATGCAAGAGATCCAAACAATCTCAGAAATTGAGGAAAATTTTCCGTTTTNGAGGAAACAGAACGCAGAAGATGTTATGGTATTTTTTAGGGATTTGATCTTTTCAATAACCATTGTTATTATTTTACAGATCAGGGTTGTAGTTTGTCTTCACTTGGGTTATTTTTCTCCAATCCGGCTTTGTTTCGCAGGAAATGTTTCTTTTTTTTCAGTTTCTTGATTTTAGTTTCGTTTGTCATAAGTTCAAAATAAACACCGAAAAAGTCGCCATTTATATATTTTTGTTTTTATATTTTTCTTCTCTCGTCTCTGAAAACTGAAATATTCCGGATCGAAAAATGAAAAATTTACGACAGAAGATTCCAAATTTCAAAGAATCTCATAGTCGAGAAAGATTCGATTTTGTCATCCTAGCATATTGGTAATTATTAATTTGTGTTTTATCAGCAGGTTTCATTATTTTAATTTCATTTGTCATGAGTTCAGAATTAACACCGAAAAAGACACGATTTAAATGTGTCTGTAAGGTAAGAGGATAAATAAACTGGAGTAATGTTCTTCTCTCGTCTCTGAAAACTGAAATATTTCGGATCGATACTCCATGAAAAATTTATGACAGAAGATTCCGAATTTCAAACAATCTCACAAGTCAAGAAAGATTTGATTTTTTCATCCTAGTATATTGTTAATTATTAAAAACTAGATCGTTGGATAATGCAATTCAAGACTTTTTATTGGCGTAGCCATTATGGTATGTCAGCAAATATACCATAATCTACAAATATGGCAAGCATACGTGTCAGATTAAAATTAAAAGGGAGCTAAAAATTGAATAAAATCTAATTTAATTTAACGTTATTAATAAAACAAGTATTCCACTCGCGCTTGTTGGATATGAGATGATTATAGCCAACTCGGCGCTACGAGCCTCGTTGTCTACCTATCATCTCATATCCAACGTGCGCTCGTGGAATAATTGTCAATTATTAACCCTTTCAGTCCCGATATTTCGGTGATAATTCTCCTTACTGTCTGCCATATAATCCTCATGAAGTCAATTACGAGAATTTGGTACTAGGTCAACTGATACTCCCCTATTTTATACATATATCTTATTAACCAAGCACGAGGGCCGTACTGGGAGAATATCGCTCCGAGGTCTTGACAGTACGGACCGAGCGCAGCGAGGTTCGTACAAAAAAACCGNTTAACGCAGTTGTAAAAGAACTCATTTGGCGTCGATCAATTTGAAACTTCCACATCCACCTTGGGGTAAACCCCCCCCGTTCAAATTCTCGTCCCCGCCACGGGCCAAAATTGTGTTCAAATGCCCCACTTAAGCATAACTTTCTGTTCAAGGATTCTTTGAGTGATCAACGTATGTTATAGAATTAAGCAAAGTCACGAATTAGTTTTTGGTCCTACTGTTGCTTTTTTTCGCTTATAGGCATCATTCTAAGATGTGAAAAGTTTCTTCCTAGCCATTCGCTCCCGAAAGCAGACTCTTTACCTTGAAACTTCCACTTAAAAAATTTTAAAAACATGGATTACGCTCAACACATCGGTTCAAATTCCCCATCCTACCCAAGCGAGGTTCAAATTCCTTTCTTTCTAGATACAGACGACAGTCAAATGCCCATGGGTTGCTCGAGGGAGCGGATGATGGTTGTTGAAGTTTCGAATTGATCGGTCCATTCACTGCCTAGAGCAGATCAAGTTTACTCATCCCGAACAACAGCAGTAACTGACTGCGCAGACCAAAGATGCGTTGATAACCCAACTTTTATGACAGAGATTTTACATTCGTACATTTTATGAAAATCAGGAACGGGGAAAAAGAAATCTGGAACGAGAATCTGAGCTTCGAAAGTATAGCAATAATCCGTATAACACTTCAAAATGGCCAATGACAAGGAAAAAGAGTCTGAGCACCAGACTCCCCGATTCCCAGTCTCTCGCTCCCCGTTCCTCGTTCCTCTTTCCTTGTTCCCCGTTTGTCGTTCCCCATTCGTCGTTTCTCGTTCCTCGTTCCTCGTTCCCCGTTCTTTAATTCCCATTCCCCCTCCCCATTCCCGTTCTCCATTCTCCATTGCCCTTTCCTGGTTTTTGTAACATCCAACTAAAGCGAGACCTTTAAACGTTTGTCAAAGCTGCCATTGACCCTTCAAGTGAATTCAGCGAGAATCACCCTTTACCAATGCAACAAATCTGATTCTGAGCCATTTTTGGGGTGAGATCTAATATTCTTCAGTACGATTGTTTGCGAAAAACACGCGGCAGTGTTATATTCTTAATGATATTGTCTCCATTAGATTCCAAAGGAAAGCAAGTATTTTCATGTATTTTTCATTTACATTGTCGTTTTGTGGAAGATATGGCGCGCAAAAATATTATCTTGCTAAATGTGTACACAGCCAGTACGCTTTTCTAGGTGCCATTTACTACTGTATACATTTTTGTTACCATTATTGCAAACATGTTTTGCCTTATTCCTTCAAAGCTTTATGCTTGACAAGTCACTATTCAGAGGAGGGAAACCGAAAATACTCAATCTGTGTAATAATATTTTTTTCGCAATAGCAACATATTAAAATTTGCTATAGGATGTTGTTACAAATTGCGTAAACCGAAGATTACAAAATGCTACAGCCATCATTACAAAATGCGTCACTCGCCTTAAATACAATACGATATTGCAGTGTGTATTACAAAATAAGTAAATTATTACAATATGCCGAAATCATTATTACAAAATG